AGAAAGAAATGTTGAATCCACCCTCTTCCGAGAAGATCCGTCCGATCAGGAAGGGATATAAGGTTCTTTCTTTTTGTATTATTATTGTTCAACTAATATCTGGGGGAAGAGAAAGCATTGAGACTCGCTCCCAAACTTATTTTAAAGCGGCTTGAAATAGCCCTTAACAAGTTTGAAAACGTAGGAAAAAATAAGTCTCTCTTTTAAAAGTTTTCCTAAAAAGCTTGGGAGGGTGGGGAATCAAAGGCCTAAAAGGAAATTTGAAATAAAACAGTATAACTCTAAAGGGGGGGAGAAGATAAAGTGTAGGGGGGTCCAGATCCCTCAGCACATATGCAGATAGCCAGTGCTGACCTTGTTTCCTTGGGGGAAGAGTTCTTGGGCCTTACTTCCGAGTAAAAATGTTCAGACTCGAGGAGATGAGAATTTGGAGGAAAACCAACTAAAGTTGTCCTTGAAAAAGTAAAAATCCTGAGTGAAATTTTAGGGGGAAGAAAGTGAAATTTAGAGGCCGCCTATCCAGAGACAGAAAGAAAAAGTGAAAGGCAAAAGGACAGCGAAACCCAGATTCAATCCCCGCTCCCCCCCCCCCGTGAAAACAATTCAGTTTCTCCCTTTTCCCTGCGAGGTGGGGGCAACACCATCTCCTCTAACTTAGGAAAAGCGAATACAAAAATATAAGACATCAATAGAATGAGACTTTCGAATACATCAAGGGTTTTTCTGGAAGCAGATAAGACAGGCAGACAATGCAAGACTCTAATTTAGAGAAACTCTTTTCCCTTTTTATTATTTTTTTTGCAATAACCACCATCCTTAACCCTTTTTATCTCCTATCCTCAAACATACATCGTTTTAAAAAAGGGACCTGCCCCCTTTACATGTCATTGTCATCCACAGAACTCAGGGCAAGGGGGTTAAAAACTTCAAACCCTGGTTTGCCTCCACCCAACTCTCACCAAGGAAATTACAGCCCTCCTACCTCCCTCTGCCTGATCCAGGGAAATCAATTAAAAAATCGTGTTCAAAATAATAATCATAAGGTGCTGCCTCTCTGGACATATATTAAGAAAGCTAAAGACATTTGGGAGAGAATTGTAAAGTTCTTCCAGCCGAGCACAATCTTTAGCAACTTTATTCACCAGTCTCTGTGAGTGAATTCGGTGGAAATACTCAGCACACAGAGATGCAGTATTTTATGGAATTTAGGATGGAAAAAAGAGCAAGCTGAATCAATTACCTCAGCGACTTTAGGTGGAGAAGTGTGAGTGTGCGTGGGGGATAGTATTAAAATAAAAACAAAGCCAACACTTTTTCCTTCTTCAGGACTCCCCAACTTCCTTTCTTGGAAGGAACGCGTTTTGGCTGTCATTGCTTCAAGACACAGTTTGGAGAAGCAATCTTAAACTAGATCTCCAGACGCTGGAATTCTTAGCCCTGAAAATCTAGCCCCCTCCCTAATATTCCTCTTAATTCTTACAGTGTTTTTTCCCAGATAATGAGGTTTCTCTCCCTCCCACTCCATAACACGGCCAGGCCATAGCATCAGGCAGTGGAATGGAAGGGAGAGAGGCCGCGAGTTTCTCCCCCTCTCAAATCCTCTTTTCCTCCAGTTATTCCAGCCTCCCCATTGCAAAGGGGAAGAAGAGGGTTAGCTACCCCTTCGGGGAGGCAGCTCCTCTCTTCCGACGTTCAACGGCGTCGAGGCGACGCTGCGTTTACGCGGCAGCCGAAGAAAATGCCAAGCGCCCCAACTTCGGAAGCGCAGCCGTCCTGTCTCTTTTTCGACACACCGGCACTTTCTCCACTCCACAAAGGTGAGGTCGAGATAGACAAGCGAATTAAAAGAAGCTGGTGGAATAAGGAGAAAGGAATAAGGATCCATCCCTCTGGAAGAGGGGTGGGATGGGGGGAGAGAAAATGCTTCACTTGCAAGGCTGCCAGTTTGGCGTCAAAAGACGCAAGCCCTCCGCCACGGTTAGGCAAGCGCTTCAACTCAACCCCGCTCAAACTTAGTGAGGATCTAAAGATTGAAGAAATCCTGTTATTAACCCGGCCGGCACTCAACCTTCTTCATCTCTGGGCCGCTGGAGACTCCCCCTGCCTCGAAAAGGAACTTTTTAAAACGGGGTCACCATGAGGACTAGCAAGTTGCCGGGGCAAGTAGATCACCCGCCGACAACGCACGCCTAGGCAAAGCAAGTCACACGCAAGATCTACGGAGTCCCATGAAGCACTTTAATCTGGAATTAAGGCCACTGAAAGCAAATGGGATTTACTTTTGAGCTGGGAGAGCCAGGACTACGCTCTTTAACACGAAAAATGTGCGCGCAAATCGCATGTGGACTTATCTAGCATCTAGGAGGATTTAAATGAAAAGGGAATTTGAGGGGGGGGGGAAGCAATCATAAAGAAATTTTACTTGTTTGAACAGGACTAGCCACGACTGAGTGTAATAAATACGCTCAAAAACAATACAGTGTGCACAAGACTATCACGGAGATAATGGGTGGCTTTTTAGAATGGGCCCTCTCATCCGCACGTGCACGCAATTTAGAAAGGACCTTCTGCCCACCTACCAAAATGGGATGAGGTAGAAGAACAAACCGCGAAGGAGCAAATTCGAAATTATTCGAGAACAAGGATTTTCCTTCCGCCTAAGGACCCCAAGACTGCAGGGGTAAGGTGTGGATACTCCCCCATAACGAAAAAGAAAAATAAACCCCAAGAGACATCCTGCATGCAGAAACAAGTCCGGGGAGAGTTGACGCTTCCAGACGTCCTTTCTACCACCTAATCTTCCAAGTGGGCCGGAAGCGATACCCCTCGGCTTTTAAGAGACTGCAAGCACCTTCGCTGGACCCACAGTCGCTAATTTGCAGGGCTCCGTAGCTAAAGCGAGAGTCCACATTTGCAGTCAGATGTCTGAACCCGGGCCACGACCGACCGCACTGGTTGTCAGAGGCAGGCCGAACTCCTGAAGCCAATTCACCCTTCACAGAATCTGTCCTTTGTGGTCTCCAGCAGGCTTCTTTCTCGGTACCCTATTGATCTATCCGCACAGCCACGCTTGGATGACGCTCTAAATCACTGGTGAGGATGACCACAACCTCCGCGGCACCTTAATGGGGTCCTGACTTGCCTCAAGTTAGCGCACTGTCTCTTTTCCTTTGCGGGGTGCCCTTGAGATTTTTAGTCCCACCCGGCCGGCCACCCCCCTCCCCCGGAAAAGCCCATTCCACTCTCTGGATTAAAAAAAAAAAAATTCCGACTCTCCAGCCAGGCAGCATTTTCGCTCGGTTCGCGTTAGGGTTACAGGGAACGACTAACGTTCCAGCAGGCCGGCAGAGTCAGAGGGAAATTGTTGTGCAGTCATTGACGCGTCGGAAAGGGGGAAAAAGGGGTATGTGTGGAACAAAAGCAGTCAACCTCTGGTTTAAATGAGGCCAAGAGAGGCCACGCGGAGGATCTGGGATGCACCCCGACCCGCAAACTAGTGGCCCAGGAGTTGCAGCTCTTTTTCCCTGAATGTACGTGTCGGGGTGTTCCGACAAACCCAGGCAGCGAGTCTCCTCACTTCTCTGGAACCAGATTCTCGTAAGAATCGTAAGAATCCCTAGAGGATTCCTCGCGCAAAAGGAGACGGGCCAGTCCCGGACCTGGCCATATTTATTTGGGGTGCAGCTCCCAGCAACTGTACTCTGGGTTGACAGAGAGGAAGATCTATGTGGGTAATTGGGATCAATCTCCGCCGAGAGAGAAAGGACGGAGATCTTCACTTAGGAAAAGAATGACATTAGCTCTTCTTACTCAAGTCCGTCAATTAACGCCCCGTTCCTCCCCCTCCCCCAATCATCTTTAGCCCTTCCAATGTGCAATGCCAAACACCTTTACCCGGGAGAAAGTGCCACTGACTTTTACTTTTGAGTTTCCCCACTAGGTTTAAGATTGCCCTCTGAGCAATCTTTTTTGGGTTGGGGGGAGAGAAGACACACACACACACACAGCCCGGCGGCCGCAATTCGTCGTCCATCGCGAGCGCAAGCGATCCGGGCAAGGAAGCGCCGTCCGACGGGCTTTGACGCAGCAAAATCGGCCGCGGCGGCGAGGCGCCCGCTTGCCCCGCGTGGAGGCTTCGGGCGAAAGGCTGCAGCTGAGGAAGGACGGACGGACGCAGGACACGCAACGCGCCCCAGACAGCCCCTCTCTCCAGGATGGGGATGGATAGGCAGCTTCCCCAATGTATCAGCATGTATGCGGATGACATACAACCCAATTTTGCTTCGGGGGGGAAGAAGGAAAGGGTCGAAGAGCAGGGACTGGGGGGGGGGGG